AGAGGAAATAAAGCCTCTTTCCCAACCAACTCCCTTGCCAATGGCTTCTGGCTCCACCAGCATTACTTTCCAGTGTCTGGAACACATTTTCCCAATCTCAGCAGCATGCACTCCAGAAACATCATTCCTTTGCTCACCAGTAACTCTCCCATCTCCTATTTCCCTTAGCTGCAAGTCCACAGAGTCGGGAGTATTGCAGCTGTTTCATTTTGTAGCAGCCTCCTCCCCTCCTTCCTTTGATTCATTATTATCAGAGGAAAGTTCCTTTTGCTTTGCAGCAGCACTAATCCTGTTAACTAATCCTAAACTAATCCTGAAGTTTAAGCTTCATGTTTCACTGCCATTGTCCCTAGCTTGGATAAGAAACAGTGAAAGGTGTCCTTCTTAAAACAAAAGTTTACTGGAAGTGGTAATAGAACTTGGGATGTGATTTTACTGAAGTATTTACAATTTCTAGTGCAAATGAATTTGTCTGTTAGGAACATTACAGTTGGCAGCATCGTCATTGCTTACGCTGTCTGATGTGGCTTCACAGTCATCATTAAGTTCTTCAAACTCTTCCTTTGAGCAGTTTGTCTTCCAGATTGAAAATGTTAAATGGTAGTTTTGTCCTGCAACCACCTGAAAAATTAGCAGGAAGGCTTTCTGTGGTAAAGGCATTTTATTTATAAGGGTTCACAGCAAAGAGATTTTTCTGCAAGCTTGTATTACATATATTCCACAAGTCCTGTCTGCTGGGACGACGTAACAATATTAAAGTATTTGGCAGCAAACCTATCTGCTTCTAATCAACTTATTTATTTACTCCGGTTCCCATTCTCAAAAATTGTGGGGTTGAAATTGAAGGAAGCAGAAAGGTCAGTATAATATCAGGCCCATGGTTTTGGCTTTGTTTTATTGGATTCCTGCAGTAATTTAATTAATAACAAATGAAATCATTAGAGACACTGCTGTAGAGAGCCAAATATGATGTAAGCTAAGTGGAATGTGTGTAAAATGAAGTGTGTGATGAAAAGGCTCAGTTGAAAATGAACATATTTGCCAAATGCATAAAGGATAGAAACTGCGTGTGTTCAAGAATGTGCCTGGTACAAGTTCTCTTAGTAATTTTTACAGATCCCAGAATAATCTATCTTGCTTCAGAGACAGTGGGGAAAACATGAAATTCTGGCTCTTTTAACTCTATTTTAAAAATGTATGCGTGCTAATATCAATCATGATATGAAAAGTGAGAAAGAAGAAAAAAGCTTAAAAGAAGAAAAAGCACAGATACTGTTAGTAAGAGCTATTCAGAAAAAATCTGGTGGGCTTTTAGTGACTTCTCCAGTGGTACCCATCATGCTCAGGAGAAGTTGTTGACAACGTATTTTCTGAACTACTCCACTGTCTTATTTTCAATTTTACCCTAAACTTCTGGTTTGATATATTGGGACAGTAAGCAAGGCAAATGCAAATGTTGGCCGGTATTATCCTCTTGATTCCTTGTTCTTTATCCGGTTGTATTTGTCTGTGAACCTGAAGTCATGCACAGATGTTCTCTTGTGAATCTGGCTGCTATACTATTAGCAGCAGAATCAGTATATAAATTAACAGATTTCTAAGGGAAATTGGGAAGCCCAGTTTCTTGGAGCTTGCAGCTGTTGCAGGGTGGACAGTGCCTAGAGTAACATACGGCATATTGGTGTGATGGATCAAGTAGGTACTTGTGTATTTTAGAAGTTGAAGATGTGCTACGAAGGCTGGTAAAAAGTGGGATTTATATACAGAAATCAGATACCTTAAGTCAACCTTTTCCCCATTCTTTAAAATCATGTTGTTGTAAGAAAAAGAAAAGATCAAGAGGTGGGAGATTTTTAAATAACTTCTGAATACAAGCCGAGATGGATAAAATTTTGGAAGAAATATTGCATGGGTATTTCAGGTACCACACGTAACAACACTTAGAGAAAAACATTATTTCAAGGCTAAATCAAAACTTTAGCTAACATTCAGCTCAGACCAATAACACTGCCATGTCTGTTCCTCATCTCTGTGGTAGAGACCAACCTGAACTGTTGCTGCTTCTATTTCTCCTTTATAGTAGAAATCGTCATTGCTCTCCGAATTGTACTTCTCCACAGAAACCTTCAGTAGTTCCTTCAGTTCTGGACTGTCTTTTGGGATAGGCTTTGGACAGCCAGCGCAAAGGACATGAGTTACCGGGTCTTCAACTGAAAGAAACCGACAGATTTCAGATCTAAGGAACAAAAGATTTCACATAGATAAAAGCCAGGAAAAGGTTAGTTATAAACTCGTGTTTGGGTCTATCAAGTGAAACCAAAGATATCTTTGAGTTTTCTCTGGTCAGCGTTATCATATCTCGGTTATCTGACAGAGTGCTGCACCAGCACCTCTGGCCCTGGACACTTAACAACAGTTTTCCAATTGCAGTAGCTAGAGAGAACATCTACACATATGGAAGGTGAAACAAGAGGTGCATGTTATTGGCAATGAACGATTGTGCTGAAGAATATCGTTATAATTTCCTGAAGAATATCATTGCAATTTCTTGAAGAAAAACAAGTCTGAATGTGTGGGAATGCAGCACTTACTCCATGGAGTAGTACTGTACTCCCTGTCCTAAGGCTCTGAAGCTGTGATGATCTGTGTCCAGAGAGATGGCTGGAGGGAAAAGTAACAATAAGAAAAATATTTGGGAATTTGACTGTAATTAATTTATAAATTCTAAGTAATTTATTTACTGGGAAAGAAAAAAAAGTCTCTAACATATCAGATGTAATATGAAATAATTATAATATCAATAGGTTAATTACAAATTTTGGACTAAATCTTAGAGTCCTCAGTTCCTTTACCTTCCAGAAGAATATACTGGAGCTCTTTGGAAAGTTAGATGTCGTTACTTATTTAAACAATGGGATATTTACTTGCTTGTCATTGTGGTGGAAAAGGAATTAGTTTTGGTAGGGCAGTTATACTCTTGGAGTTTGTATCTGTTTATCTCCAACTGAGAGTCAGCAACCAGGTTTGTGTCATAGAAACAGGGCCGTGTGTGTGCGCGTGTGTATATAAATATATATATATGTAATATGATGAAGTGTAACTTTCAGCTGAATATGAAATACTTGAAGGGAGTGAAAAAAATCTGTGGTAATATTTCATCAAGAGGCAGTGGGTTTTTTGGTCCCAAAAGAATTACTTTGTCCTGTTATTTTCTGTTTTCATCTCTTGCATTTTTATCTTGTCTTTTTTTTACAATTGTGAAAAAAACATTGAAAAGTGCAGAACTTTTAAAAAATGGAATAGTGCCCATGACTTACCTGGAAGCTTGCACTGGGTTGCAACATCTACAATCTGCCCGTGAAGGTTTACATATCCTTTGGCATCGCATTTACCTATGCGCTGGATTAAAAACCCAAAACAGCTCTTTATTATTTAGAAATAATGAACAATCTCACATCCCAGTACTTTCCTGCTAACAGAATAAGTCAAGCATACTACTAATTCCTCCTTCCTTCCTTCCTTCCTTCCTTCCTTCCCTCAGTATACTGGGAGCAAGAAGCCTGACAGTCTGCAGAGCCCAGGAATGATCAGGGTTCAAAAGGACCATTCAGAGAAAATAAAACCATAAAAGAAAAGCTAAATGAACTATTTGTATGTGCTCATTACAGGAGAGGGGAAGGTTTACAAGCCAGAATCCTATTTTACGGAGAACTGGAATTTCTGTCTTAAACTGTAAAGACCAAAAAGATCGGGCAATTAACAAACCAAACATTACTGAGTTTCTTGTATTTACTCAGGTGATCTAAAGGAACTGTGCTGGGTGACTTATTTACAATTGCCTTGATATCTTATGACTGGAAGAAAGCAGATGTTGAAGCTGTTCTGTTTTAAAAAGGGTTATGTACCCATAAAACTGAATCTCTACCGATCAAGTGATTAGAAATGGTAGTAAGGAAAGAACTAGGGGGCATGAATACATCAAGGAGAGATCAGGGGGGGTTGTCGTAAACAGAAATCATATTTTTCTTCAAACCATCAACAAAAGTGAGTAAAGAGATCTGTTGATACGTAGATTTTCAAAAAGGTTTTGGGGAAGTCCCTCATCAAAGACTCCAAAAGAAACTGATCAACTGTAGAGTAAGGAGGAAGACTGTTACAACTCAAGATCTTAGTGCTTTGACAGGTGCTTGAAAATGTTATCCATTAAAAAAGTGATTCTCCTTATTAGTGGTTTAGAAAAAAAGACTAAAACAATAATGTTGAGGCTTATTTTTCAGGTCAGACAGAATGGTGTTATGCCCCACTGTAGCTCTGTGGTTCACATGCACGTTGAATAGAGGGCGCAATTCTGGTCTTTCCATTTCAAAATGAATAGTACAGAGCTGAATAGCGGTATGAAACAACTTCCATGGAATCTGGTTATTCCAAGGTATAGAATTCTTGGAATATCGGATTCTAACAATATCTATCTGTTCCATACATCTCTGTGTTCTACCTTGTAGTTGCAGAAGATTTGTTTGACCCTCTGGTGAGCTGGTTCAGGGAGGTTGGCTGAGAAAGCAACCCTCTCCTTTCGGTACAGTTAATTCTGTTCCAGGTCAGAGAAGCCGAGGAAGTACCTAGTTTTGCAACACTGTTCAGCTAGAGTATGTGTGTTAATAGATTTCTTTTGAAGCTCTCTTGTTTGGACTGAGGTAGAGGTTAAGTAATAATTCAGCTACTTATATGTCCTAAGATGGAAAAGCAGTGCTAATTTTTTTTAGCACTTTTTGGATTGTACTCAAGTAAGTTGAATATCTGGATAGGAACTTCTCAAGGGACTTGTAATTTGGATGAGACTGTTTAGATTCTACAGAGTCATCTGTAAACATTTCAGTGGTCATCTTAGTCACTGATTCAGAAGACATGGATGCTCTAATTGCGTAAAGAGACATTTACCTCTAAGCCTAGATTTAAACTTCATTTGCAACGTTAAGGAATACTATTTTCTTGAGTCAAATCTCAATGATTATTTAGTAATACGATATTTTCTTGATAAACAGATTTTGAAGATTACTTACTTCTCTAGAAGTGGTTTTGCACTCTGGAGTTAAATCTTGAAATTGGTCTTTGGAGCAATTAGTCTCCTCGACTTCATATTTAATTGCATAATTCCACCCAGCTACCACCTGGAACAGATATTTAGGAGATGCATTATGTAAACCAATACAAACTTGGAAGTTGAACTAGTAAATGTGATTAGCAAAGAAAACAAAACTGCTCTTCTTGGGCCTTCCGTCCACCAAATGATTTTGTGTTCATTGAGCCACAGAGTATTCATGGACAGCAGCAGAAGTCTTGTCCTTGCAATGCAAAAAGTAAACTAAGTCATGCATATATTGGAAGTGTATTTTATATTTGGATTCTGCTTCTGGTGAGCCCGCAGCCTCACAACGCTTGGTTTCTTGCACTTTCCTCCAGCGTATCTGTTACTCATTAGTCCCAGTGACAGGAAGCTGGTCTAGATAGATGACTACAGTAACACAGCTGGCCAAGTCCCGTGTTCCTGAGTGTGGGACCTGGTAAAACAGTATCTGAATAATGTAACTTTATACTGCTGCCAGCATTTGTTATTGAGTGTCCTGCATTTATTTTCTGCCCACAACTGTGTCTGCCTTCAGCTTTACCTTCCCCCACCTGCTGTTTTGTCTGTATTTGTGACCCTTTTTAAATTTTCTCTCCGGGAAGCAGTTCAGATTTCCTCACTGTGGCTACTGCTTCTCACCCATGAAATCTCTCCATGTCAGTTTTGGGTCAGGTAGCATTGGATTACAAAGGGGAAATAATAATCAAATATAGGAATTTTCCATGCCAGATCAGTTAAAGTGAAGGGCTCTGACTAGTCTCTGTTGGCCAGAATGGATGTGACGGTTCTCTTTCCAGCTGCTGGATTGCAGCCTGTCTGTGACTTTTTGTCATGTGGCTTAAATGCTGTCCAAGCTTGTCTTTCAGCTAAGAGCATCGTGGTGATCAGTAAATAAAAGAGGACAGTCTGAAATAAATCATAGGTCAAATTGACATGAGATGAGAAGACACTTTTTGGCTAAGTAAATACATACACATTCAAAGAAAAGGGCCTGTATTTGAGGTCAGGTTATACACTGGTTAAAAACCAAAAAAGAAACTTTACTTTGTAGCAATGTCACACCAATCCATAGGAGAACCTGTCACAGGGAAGTAACTGTTGCATGGAATACCAGATGGCACGGTATATCTGTGACCTGAGCAGTCATTTCTTGCAAAGCAGATATTCCCGTGCTGGCTTTTTGTTTTTCTTACCTATTTTTCCTATATGAGGTTTACCCATCCTATAGCATATAGCAGCTGCTGACATATGGCTCCTATTGCATTGCAGAAACATAGATGCCTGCTGCTGTTTGAGAGGCTGTAGCAGATATGAGACATCTGTGCAGGCCAGCGGGTTTGGCACAGAACCTGGAAGAGATCTGCTCCTGCTGGAGCTTCAGGGAGAGGCCAAGCGGAATACTCGAGAGCATCCCACATGGCACAAGATGCCTGTGACAGCGCTGACTGCAAATAAACTGGTGCTAAACACTGGTTAGATGCAACTGCAGATGAAGAAAAAGTATCTTTCCTGTCAGTTTGTAAAGTTGATAGCTCTGAAATTCCAGCGGGTAACCATTTATGAGTCCTGATAAATGAAGAGAATTAGTTACAGTGTCTACACTCTACATGCAGTTTTTTATGCTCTTACAAAATATAAACCACCTTAAAATCAGAAACATGTACATAAGTACCTGGGTTTGGGGGGTAAAATTTAGAGAAAAATCATACACAAACCTGTCTTTTAGCTTCTTTTATTTCCACAAGCTTATAAAGGGCAGGTTCAGCACTGTGCTTGTTAAACTTTTGAATGGCTCGTTTCAGAATTTCTGATACTTCTGAACTGTCACTTGATATAGGATGGAAGCATCCAAGACAGGGAGCAGTAGCAAGTCGTACCTTTGACGTAGCTGGAAAAGAAACAAATCATGTAAAACAGCCTCAGGTTTTAATTTGTCCTGTCTGGGAATGAGAGAAAAGGTTCAATGAGCAAGAACCTTTCCTACTTTTAATTAGAGTGATCAGGAAACCTCACATTTCAGTTTCAGGGCCTGCAAAGGCATTCATTGTATTTAGAAACATGCTTCAGTTTGTGGTGGTAGTGGCCATCCATGACATTTGGATCCAGGCATGGTTTCAGCAGCAAACTTCATTCGGAGTTCAGGAGTCACTGAGTCTCTGAATCTTATTAACAGTCTTATTACCATATATAAATATCTGAGGGGTGAGCGTCAAGAGGAAGGGGACAGTCTCTTTTCAGTGGTGCCCAGCAATAGAACAAGAAATAATGGGTTTAAGTTAGAACATAGGAAGTTCCACCTCAACATGAGGAGAAACTTCTTTACTGTGATGATGACGGACACTGGCACAGGCTGCCCAGAGAGGTTGTGGAGTCTCCTTCTCTGGAGACTTTCAAAACCCACCTGGACGCGTTCCTGTGTGGCTGCCCTGGGTGATCCTGCTCTGGCAGGGGGGTTGGACTAGATGATCTCTAGAGGCCCCTTCCAACCCCTGACACTCTGTGATTCTAAGTAAACCTTGCACATGTAGTTATGACATCCCCCAGTCAGGAAAGAACCATCAGAGGCTACAACTAAGGAGGTGTTCTTCAGAGTCTTCAAAGCTCCCCCACTCTGTGCAGCTGGTCACTGTCCTCCCCATGTTTGTGGCCAGGGACGCTGGCAGGAGTGTTTTGCCTCACCCATGTCAGCTGCTCTGACTTGGAGCCCGCGGGACTGCAGCTGATTTGAACTCCCCCCGCTAGTCGCTGTGGCTGCCAGGTGCCAACGACTTGGTGTTACCTTCAGGCTTAACCAGCTGGATTGGCTGTGGAGAGACAAGCTTGATGGGGACACTCAAACTTCTGTTTCTTACTCCTAATCCTATTAAATCTCTTTCCTTTATAGTAATCATGGACTGGATTTTCATAAATTAATTTTATAGTTCAGTACATAAATTAATTTCATGATTCAGTGAGCTTGAGAATGGAAGTGGGACAATATGTGGTCTCTGTGGAATTGAAGTAAAATTCATGTGCCTGATCCTCAGCTGGCATAAACTGGCTTTGATGGAGTTGTGCCAGCTTGCACCAGCCAGGAAACCAGTCCAAAGTCAGTGGGATCAAACTGTTCCACCAAGAAGGCTGAACAGTGTGGTGGTACCTAACACGGTGGGGAAATCCCTCACCACATTTGAAATTGCTCAGTGTAAGCAATACTGTCTGCCTTAGCTCTCCAAGGGGTACCTGAAAAAATTTTGACCCTTCGTGTTTCTAGCAACACTTGTTTTGACTCGGTAATGACAAATATGTACATGTTATAGAAAAACATGACCATATTTTCAGGAGGTAATTGCAAAGGAGGTAGTACAACAGCCAGTTTTACACCGACTATGGTCTCAGCATTTTCATAAGTGCTGAGCAAACGTGTGTTCTTTTTTCAGAGGTACTATGATTTGGTGAGAAGCGATGAGCTTTTTAGGCTGAATACAATTCATTTAATTTATATACGGTTTTCAGCTTTCTAAGCAAAGATTCAAATGCAAATTTCCCGTGCATTCTCTGTGGGATTCGCACACCTTTTACTGGCAACTAGGTGTCACCATTGCCCTACAAATGCATCTAAACCGAGCCGCAGTCATTCAGTAGAAGAACATGGAGTTTGCAGTTCCTGGAAGGACACTGACTGTAGGTGAAGCCACTTAAGCTTTAAATGAGATAACTAGGAACAAAAAACAGAGATAAACTGCCAAACATCTCAGAAACCGTGGTAGATGTTTGTGTAGTTAATATGCACTTAGCTCCCTGCTACCAGCTGGATGGATATTTTAAAATGAGCTTGGATATGTCTTACATGAACACTAGGCATAAGCACATAGAGATCTCATTTGCAAAGCTTTAAAACAATTTGCTCTCTCTCTAATAAAGAAAATTACCATGTAAGCATAGTAGTCACATATGAATGTGTTCTAGGCAGGAAACGCAGTGTCACTTATTGCTGAGGTCTAAAATATGTCACAGTCTCTTACATAATTACACGACAGCTAAATTTTTATTTTGTAAATTATTTTTGTTGGGTTTTTTTGTTTGTTTTTGGTAAATATTTCTTTTGGTAAACTGTAACAAATACAGTCATTTTTAAGCTTGGAAAAAAACTAAGGTACAATGTTGTCATATCATTTTTTTCCTGATCATTTCTGGCACAATTTTATGCCTGAATAAGTAAGGACAGAAAACTAAAGTATAACAGATTGTATCTAGTCTCTAAGTTACTGGTATGCTTTTGGTCTTAAGCAAATCCATTTTAACTTGGTATAATTCCAGTGACTGAAGAAATTTAGTACACACCCATGTGCTGGTTTTCATTATCCTGGATAGAAACTGCCAGTGCTTCATTAACTTAGCCTATACGTGTGTAACAGCAAAGTGAAATTTTGTCTTTAACATGTAGTTGCCTGTGGAAGTTTATTTATAAATACCTGAAGAGAACGATAAGGAGCTCCTATCTTTAAAATTACCTAAAAGTCTCCATATTATATTTTCCCTGTTCTTAATTGTCAACGTACTAGTTGAATGCTGCCCCAAACCGTTACATACCTGGAAAAATTTTGCAGTCTTGTGAAACATTGCTTGTTTTGTCCATGTTATTCGTGTGAACTCGAGCTGTGCATTCTCCTGTTTTCTGCAAAAACACATGGCAACATTTGTCTTAAACTTGGTAAAGTGCTGTATATTTCCTTACCTATTGAACAAAGCTGACAGTTGAAAATTCAGTCTGGGGAACAAGTTCATCCGTATCTTTGTAGTAATGTCTAATTTGCTGTTTTGTTACCGGGAAAGGAACGGTTTTGTTGATTGTGAGGAGAGTAGGGGATGCACTGAGCAGATAATCTGAAAGATTGCTTTGTGTCATGATCAATGTGTATTAATTAACTAAAGCATTTTCAGTCAAAATAATGGAAATGAACATATCCTCATAAGTAAAGTCTGTATAAATCATGTATTTGCCTCATTTTCTCTCTGCTAGTACGAACTATACGGCAATGACCACGGCATTTCACATTGATTCAGAAGATATTATCACCATCATCCCTTTCTTTGCATTGTGGACTGTGCGAAAGAGCAGTGGCTTCCCCTGGGAATGCGCCGTGTTCCTGCACGCTGTGTGTGCCCCAACTCTACTCCCTCCAGGGGCTCTCTAGTAGTGTGAGCCAGGAATGCTCTGCACTGCTACAAGCCCTCTGGCAACTTTCTGATGTAGTGGCTTCCATGTCAGTAGTTTTGCTGATTGTTTCAATTTGGGTGTGCAGGTTTCTGTTACATATAATTAACGGAAAGCTTACAGCCCTCCCACTCTCACAGTGCAGGTATCATACGTTGAGTTCATTGTGAGCCTGTATAATGAAGCTCTGAAATGTTCCCTCGTGCAGGTATTTGGGATTAGAATGGTACTCACAATTATAATGGTTAACTTTAGAGTTGTAAGCATTTCTGTACTGTACTTTAGTCCTATAAGCTCTCAAAGCAACATGGCTAAAAAATTTAATTCTCTGCTGTATTTTTCCCCAGACAGCTGCTCATTACACTGATTTTTCTGTATCGAGAACTTTTAAAGAGGACAGATACTTACAGCTTCTGCAGGTACTTTGTAATCACAGTCTTGCCAAAGTTTGTTTTCCGCGATGTCACAAGTGGTTTCTCGTATTCGATATTTCACATAGAATTGTGTGTCGGGACCCTCCTGGATAAAACAGTATGCATCTCATCATTTGCATGGTAGTAAATCAAGTGAAAAGATATGAGCTTCAAAAGGTAAATACTATCCATTGGTTACTTTACATTTTATAGTGTGGTTTTAGATTAGCTGCTGGTCTCCATGCAAGGGCTTCAAATCTTGGTAGTTCCATAACTAAGTTATCTGATTATACCACTGAGCCCTTACCTGTATTTGCAATATGTTGATACAATCGATAAGGTATGCTCCACTACCTTCATTTTAACTTGTAGTACCGAGGGCTTTAAAACCAGAAAGAAGTGGTTAGTTTTACACTCATAGTCAAATATACTCCAAATAAGCAAGTCTGGGTTGGTGCTTGGATAGTTTGCATAATTATCAGCTTGGACTGTGTGCCTGTCTGACTCCCTCACCCTCACTCTTGGCCTCTTCCCAGATCTGTCTGTTTTCCTTCTGCACAGCTCTACGGGAAGCCCAGAGACAGCAGCCAGCAGCCCTCAGGCAGCCTGGCAGTGCCCAAGCTACCTTCGCTCTGTGGGCAGAGGGTACTGAAGCTGCCCGGCCTGCTCAGGGAAAGGGGCGAGGAGGGCGTCTGCCCTGGAGGCAGCCTGTGGCAGTGCCTCGCGGTTTTCCCATCAGCGTTACGGGCTGAGCGCAGCCTCAGCAATCCCCTAAGATGAAACACAAAGTATTAAGCAAAGTTCGGCCTGGCCAGTGAAAGTGTTCCTGGTGTTGGTGGACCAGTACCGGGCATTTCTGCTTGCCACAAACCGAGCAGTGAACCTGGGCCTCCGGGTAGCACTAATACACTGCAAGGTTTGTGCTCCATCCTTTAGAGGAGATGGAAAGCCAGAAGTTACTGATCTGTTTCAGGCACTACAAATGCTCTGCCAGTGTGCCTTTTCAAATACAAACACAGGCAGTTGCTGCACTGGAACACTGCTTATCCTCAGATGATACCGCTGGGAGAATTAAATGATAATTCTTGCCTTAGTGGTATCGAGAAAGTGAAGCTGAGCTGGTGTGGGTGGAATATACTGGATTTACGCTGGCATAGACTTATGTTCTGTGTTCTCTCAGGTCCTGTTGTGTATTGCTAAAGCTACAAAGAGGCGCAGAGGTACCTTATGTAATGGTTGCAGGTTGTGAAACAGGATGAAACTTCCTAAATATAATGGACTTAATGTCCAATTCCTAAATATAACGGAAACTTCCTAAAAATATAATGGATGTATAAATTGACATTTGTGGAGCTGCATCAGATTATCCTCTCTGGGATGTGGACTTAAAAAGAGCCAAATTCTGTCCTCTGTTACAGTGTTCTAAATCTGCAATAAATCATCTCAGTGAGTAAACAAAATGTGTAAGAAAATACATTGTTTCTGTATGTTATTTGTTGCTGATTTATTTCATTATTATTATGAACAACTGTGCCTTTAACTGGGGCGAGTTTGGTCTTTTACCCGTCAGCTTTTGTGTTTTATTAACTTATCAATAATGAATGTACATGAATATGTAATAACCAGCTATTTAATTAATGTATTCAACATTGTGAGACTAGCAATGAGTAAAATCTATACTCTTTGCATAAAAGAATATCAAATATGAGGAAATCTCTGTTGCAGATTCCTTTTCTCTGTTTTTTATTTAACATCGTAGTCAGATCAGTTATTCAGGGTAATAATTGATGTCCACCTCGGATCTTTTAAGAAAAGGAAAGATGGGTATCTAGAGAAGGAAAGATGAACGATAATTGCAATAAATAAGTATACTTGAAAATAGAACGCTAGTTTAGATAAAATACTGAAACTAACATCTGTCCTTTGGGAACATCAGCAAGAGGAAGGCAGTGTTGCAGCTCTCATATAAAGATGTTTGCATCTGGCTGCCGTTAAGGATATGTAGATCAGTGAAGACAGTGGGATTATTCATTTGTTTAATATTAATTGCGTGAAGGATTTGCCAGATTTTAGGTTTTGTCGCTGCATGCTAAAATCTCCAAAGTTTGAAAACAGGAAAACCAGAGGATAAGTGCCATGGGATGTGGGTAGTTTACTGTAAGGCATTTAGCAATTCATATCCCCTTTTGAGGTCAGTTTTTATCTGGGTAAAAGCGTCTTGTGATTTTTGAAGCGCTAAATATTATCTCTGGTGCTGGGTTTCTTGTGTTCTACATCTGAAAATCCAATCCAGTAGAAGAAAATGCTAATGTTGTTTTCAAGAAAAGCAGTGCTTGTCATTATTATGGTAATGCCATCTTTGTATGCCTCTCAGAGGTAAATATGCTTTAGTTAGATTAATGCTGTACAGAAGGACTTCAAGCAAAGGATCACGTTTCATTCCTTTTTCTTTTTGTAATTTTAGCTGTCACCCTATTTAACAAAAAACACCACCTACTGCTTCTTGATAGATCTGTGACTCAGGACTAGTGTCAATCAAAAAATATTCATTAACAATTTATTCAGAGTATTGCTGAGTTTTATCAGGTGATTCTTCTTCATCTGTGGTACCAGCTCTTCCCAAGGCAAGATAGTCTTCAAGTTTTTTAGTAAGTGTGCTTTTGCCATTGATCTGAAACCTTACTGATAGTGGAAGTGGATAGAATTCCCAAGAGAGAAAGGGAAAAGTAGAGGGGGCTAGTAAGACAAATTTTATTAGTGATAGACATTTTCTGTTCTTTAGTCCTTGCATTACTAAGCGATTCACCAGCACACATAGTTCCACTGATAAGAACATAATATACATCCCGGCTTGTCATGGTAACAAGTATCTTACTGTGCAAGTTATTTCTTTGATTTTTTTAAAACGTTTTACAAAGGCATTTTGCTGTCATGCTTGCTCTCTTATGAACAAGATGGAGATAATCTGATTCAAAGTGCATAAACAGTTCCAACATTTTTTTTTTTTTTGCAAAGTCTACTTACAGTTCTCTTGGCTTCCGTCACCACGTATAGAGCAAATTGATTACCAGTTGCTCTTTCTCCATTGTATTTCTTCAGTGCCGTGTCCACAGCTTTAAAGACATCAGGATCATCACAGTCCAGAAACTCAAATGGAAGTGGGGAGGCTCTGCTAGAGAAAAAACTACAGCAGAGTGCTAGTACAAGGAAAGGTTTCATAACTGGACAAAAAAGGCCTGTGGAATTAAAAGGCTTCCTAAAAACCAAATGGAAAAGAGATGCCTGAAAGGGTTTTAGTCACCTCTTCTGTTTTTCAGGAGCAATAACTAAGTAAACAGAAGGAGTGAGTTGCTGGGGTTGGTCAGTTCTCCTCATACCCTGTTTATACTGCAAATAAACTTTGAGTTTATCCAAATAACCTTTGTGTGGTCAATGGAATGACACCAAGGTTATCCACCTGCCATCAAGATAACAGGCTTGACTGCAGCTGCTGACTGCACCTGGGCTGGGCTAATCCCAGGCACAAATACAAACTGGGCACAAAGTGGGTTGAGAGTAGCCCTGATTTGGGGGTGTTGATAGATGAGAAGCTCAATACGAGCCGGCAGTGTGCTCATGCAGCTCAGAAGGCCAACCGCATCCTGGGAAGCGTGGTCAGCAGGTCAAGAGAGGTGATTCCGCTCCTTTAATCTGCTCTTGTGAGACCCCACCTTGAATACTGCGTCCAGTTCTGGTGTCCCCACCATAAGAGGGACGTGGATCTGTTGGAGCGTGTTCAGAGGAGGCCACAAGGATGATCCAGGGGCTGGAGCACCTCTGCTACGAGGACACGCTGCAGGAACTGGGATTGTTCAGTCCTGAAAAGAGAAGACTTCGGGGGGACCTAATACCAGAAGGGAACCTACCAGGAAGGCTGGGGAGGCACTTTTTACAAGAGTGTCCACGGATAGGACAAGGGGAAATGGGTTTAAGTTGAAGGAGAATAGATTTAGATTGGACCTCAGGAAGAAATTCTTCAGTACGAGGGCGGCAAGACTTTGGAATAAATTGCCCAGAGATGCTGTGGCTGCCCGCTCCCTGGAGGTGTTCAAGGCAAAGTTTGATGGAGCCTTGAGTAGCCTGATCTAGGTGAGAGGCGTCCCTACCCATTGGACTAGATGATCTCTAAGGTCCCTTCCAGCCTAGGCCACTCTGTGATTCTATGATTCTGTGTTCTTTCTTATGAGATAGCTGTTCTGAACTAACTCATTGGGTTCCAAGTCTGTCTGAGTGGACTTTACCTTGATGGGGGCTAGATAAAGAAAACACCTAGGTGAAAAAGTTATTACATGCATCTGCTTTTCTACTCCCCTGAGAGCAATTACGAACTATTTGAGAAGGGCTGTCCTTGAACACAGTGTTTCTGGTCTATCACCAGCAGCAACTGTAGAAGTGGAAGCACCTGTGCAGGCCGTCCTTCAGGGTTAGCACCACAATTCATTAACTATTCTCAGGCCTTTTCTAGATAATGGCAGTAACCCAACCTCCAGTGGTCAATTTATGCTAGAATGTGCCTCCTGGATGCTTACTGTGCAGCTAATATCTGTAGTAACAAAAAAGACAAAATTTAGACAACTGTGTCAGGAAAAAACCACATATTTTATTTTCTTTGAATCTCTAGAAAGCATGAATATAGTGCCATGGACCATTTTTTATGGAAGGCGGTTGAAGTTCCTCTAGATCAGATTTCCTCAGAGAAGTATGTTATAATTATGAATGGTGAAAAACCGAAAAATTTCAGATGGTAGTATTCACTATTAGGAAATTCTGATTTTCATTTGATCTAAAGGAGCATTATTTGCTGAGGAGATTACAAATCTCCCCATTTGCATTATCTGAGGGACTCAGAATTTTAAGCCTTTCAGTTTCGGTGGAGTCTGAGATAACTGGAATCAAGGAGCAGGTTGGAATACTTGTCTTAATCTTTCAGTTCTTCTTTTCCCTAGAAATTGTGCATTTTTTTCCCCTTCTCCACGTGCTGTTTTCTTTCATTGTACAACTGTCATTGGCCCTGCAGCTCTCAAGCCAGGAACATCTTTCTCTGAAGTCATCTAGAAGATTTTTCTGCCACAGAGCTATGTGGAAGTAAAGGCAAAATTTTTGGAAGAACAAGTTTGGGGTTTCCAGGGCATGACTTTGATTGTGTAGGGTGTTCTGGAAAAACTAGAGCTTCTGGCATTTCCTTTGAGCCAGTAGAGGGAGAACCTTCACCAGTGCTGGGTGAGTGAGGCTTCCTTTGGAATAGCTCGAGAAAGTTTGCAGTGGGAGATGGGAGAGAATCATGTTGATTTAGAACTGGGATGCGATAGACAGCTCCGGTTATGTGGAATGGAAAGTACTTTCCTGATATACTTGTCTTGTTGCAGTGATGTCTGTGATAGTGGTGGTGGTGAGGAGGGTGGTGATGTGGTCCATGACGATGGGGAGGAGGACAGTGTGGTCCGTGGTGGGGAGGAGGGTGGTGGTGATGTGGTCCATGGGGAGGAAAAGGACAGTGTTGTCCAGGGTGGGGAGGAGGATGTGGTCCATGAGGACAAGGTGATCCATGATGAGGACCAAGAGGAGGAGGATGTGGTTCATCATGAGGAGGAGGAGCAGAAGGGGGATGTTCTAGTTCCTCTTGGGGAGGAGGATTTGTTTCATCGTGGGGAGGAGGAGGAGGAGGATGGTGATGTGGTCCATGACGATGGGGAGGAGGACAGTGTGGCCCATGATGCGGGGGAGGATGGTGGTGATGTGGTCCGTGAGGAGGAAAAGGACAGTGGTGGGGAGGAGGGTGGGAGTGATGTGGTCCATGAGGAGGGAGATGACAAGGTGGTCCATGATGGGGACCAAGAGGAGGAGGATGTGGTTCATCATGAGGAGGAGGAGCAGAAGGGGGATGTTCTACTTCCTCTTGGGGAGGAGGATTTGTTTCATCGTGGGGAGGAGGAGGAGGATGGTGATGTGGTCCATGATGATGGGGATGAGGACAGTGTGGCCCATGATGCGGGGGAGGATGGTGGTGATGTGGTCCATGAGGAGGGAGATGACAAGGTGGTCCATGAGGAGGACCAAGAGGAGGAGAATGAGGTTCATCATGAGGAGGAGGAGCAGAAGGGGGATGTTCTAGTTCCTCTTGGGGAGGAGGATTTGTTTCATCGTGGGGAGGAGGGTGGTGATGTGGTCCACAGTGGGGGGGAGGCGGAGGACAATGGTGTGGCGGGTGAGGGTGGTGATGGTGATGTGGTCCATCATGGGGAGGAGGTGGAGGACAGTGGTGCGGAGGGTGAGGGTGGTGATGTGGTTTACTGTGGGAGGAAGAAGGAGAATCAGGTCCTTCATGACTGTCTTGCTGTTCTTCCTTGAAACTAGCGTTGTGCTTGGGGTCTTCAGGTCCGAACTGAGAAGGTGGTGGACATCCATGCTTAGGATGTCTGTGACGGTGTTTGTGACCAAAGCGATGACGGGGATGGGGATGCCTGCATCCGTGCCCGTGTATGTGCTGCTGTTCATAAAAACATCAGGAGAGGAAGTATTAAGTGAGATGTTAATAGGACAGAAGAAAGTGGTGAGAAGATAGAGAGGTGGGAGTTAGTAGGTTTGCATTTACAGTTCTAGTGATCTGTAAGGAGAAAAAAAAAGTTGTGTCTTTTTCAAGATAGAAGTAGAAGATAAAACACCAAAATTACTGAAAATCACCTGGAAATACTACACCTTAACAAAATGAATTGATATAAGCAACTGAGCAAAATTTGTGATGGATCAAACCCCACACTGCAGTAGCTGTTGTAAACTGGAATACCAAACGTGATAAAGATCACCTCCCCTCCTTTTGCTTTCTAAAATTCCTTTCAACTTGTTTGCTGGTCTCTGCTCACTTTTACTAAGGAGTATGACTGGACTGAGGGAAGATACCCTTGGAAGCAGTAGTAGGCCCAGCTCAATTCTAATTCATCCTCTGATTGACATAGCACTCAAAAGCCTGTCTGTCCTGATGTGCTGCGTCACACCCAGGCAGTAACAAAGGGACACAAGCCAGAGAGACGTCAGTCAGTGAGTACGTACCCAGGGCTCGTAGATCTCACACTTGATATCTGTTCCATCGGATTCATCTGGATCACTGATAACTCTTGCCTTACAGAATCCCACGTGCTAAGCAAAAGAAAAGAAAAAAAAGAATAAAAAAAAGACCGCATGTCTGAGTTCTTGTGATGGAGTTAATAGAACCTACCGGAAGTTGGACATTTTAAAAGTAAGGCTAGGTCCTTCGATACTTAAGAACTTGGCTAGATACTGAGATTTCTGACCAGTGATACTTGCCAGTGATTAATACTGATTACAAGGTATGCCAGGTTTGAGTGTTCTTGACTACGAAGACCACTTCACCATGTGCCTCTAGAGGGCTACTACTCTCTGTCTTACTTCTCTCATGTCTGTGAGAAATTGGTCAGCTAGTGATGTCTCCAAAATGAGTACCCTTTGGGTGACTTGACTTTTATTCCTTTTTTTCTGTCTTTGCTTGTCAAGCTTCTGTTCAGATTGGGCTATTTTGATATTACGATCTCGCCTAGTTGTTTCTTTGCAATAGGAAGGTGGTTGAGGAGAGTACATTCATAGTAATCTACAGATGAGCTTGAATTATGCCACTTGCATTCCCCTGCAGCAGAGGAAGGGAATGTGTTATGTCATCTCTGGGCTCACTGGAATGACCTAATACATATATTTCTTTTTCAAGATCTATGACTCAACGTTAGTGTAGAACTTTTTAATGAAAATAGCGTAAATGATTTACTAGGGAATGGCCACAATTTGAATGTGAAAGCCAGATCCAAGCTTAAAAGCTCAGGTCTAGGTCTATAATATGCAGACTCTAGTTATATTTAAAATTGGGAGCTCAGATTGGCTCCTTATAGATTAAAAAGGAGCAACTGTAAAACTAGGATCTGGACTTGGATGTGCTGTTTTCTTAATTTTGAGTTTGGGTGCATACTTACAAGAAACACTTAGAAATATTGTGAAAAGATCTTCCTGGTGCCACCCATTATATCAGTTCCCATTCTAAGACTTTACTTACAGCGTGCCAGTCGTCCAGAAAATCACATTCCAATGCCTGATCTGCTTGTCGTGCGGATTTGGAACAGTTGGTCTCTTTTATAGAGAATCCTAAAATATGACCTTCACGGGAGGCAGTCTGAAACCAAGATGTCAAACAAGAAGTGGTAAGTAGGTGTATATAAAAAAAACCCACCTGTAATTTTAAAAGCAACCCTTCTTCATATTGTTGTCGAAATCCTGTCCCACCTCATGCTTTTATTACCTGTGCTGTTCAAATGTTCATACACATACATGTATTCAGTAAGGAAAATAGAGTAGATAATTTATACCTTACTTGCCTCACACCTTTAGGAGTTCTGGGAATTTTTCTTTGTCTCATATGTGTATGTTAAAAAACCTGTTACGTTTACAGCCTGTGTTTTTAGGAAGTAGCGTCCTTAGACTCTTCTCCCTGGAACTGCTGTTCCTGTAGAAATACAAAGATCTGCTGGATGGCAACCACTCCTTCCCAGTGACGGGGGTGCATAGTGCTACAGTGCTGATGTGAGTTTGGTTTGAAATTCTGGCAGTTGCTGTGAGATTGTTGCTTTCTCTGCTGTCAGTGGCCTTGTTTACAGAGAAGACATTACTCCACAGGAACAGGGGAGAAGGCCTTTGTGATCCTATTAGAACTGTGAAGAGCTATTTCATTCTAATTTCTGAATGTAGTGGTAGGTTATTTCAAGTCTTTATTGAAGGTGTCCATAGCATGTGTGTGCACTCAGATTTTGCTAATGGGATAGAAGGGGATGGAAATACTTTATAGTATATTTTTTTATCATAATTCATAGTTTTTGAGTGTTATGCAGTCTGTTGAAATTAAGTGGTACACTCTAAATTGTAGCTGTAGTACAGAGAAGTGTGAAGACAAAGCATTCAGGGAGAAATTAATGAATGCAAGCAATCTTAAAACAGCCATGGGCTAAATGGGAATAGGGCTGTGTCCTGCATGGGACTACAGTGTAGAACACTGTCAAGTTTCAGAGCAATACCAAAAGCTGCAGGGAGGTGCAGGCTTGATGTGCTGTAATTTAGCAAGATCATGTGTTTCAGCAGGGGCCATGAGATCTCATTACAGAGGCGTCCTGAACTGATACGTGTGTTGGCAGCATGATCCTCTGCTGTTTAAGTGAACGTCTGCTCTATCTAGCAACGAGAAATTGTGGTGACGTGAGAGCTGTACTTCAGATCACCCAAAGGATGAGTCTTCACGTCAACGTCACTCAGAGATGGAGGAGTTGTTACCAGAGCCGGTAGTTCTTCAGTAGGTACAGCACAGATACAAATTTACCTCCTGTCCTTCAGAGCTCTCAGCGTGCTGCTCTGCTCTGCAGCAGAAAGTCAAAATGATGCTGAGCGTGTTCCATTTGCTGTGGTACTCCTGTGCGAAATATTCTGAGTAAAAAATGCTCTGACTTCAGCTGACACAACGTGTGACTGACAGTGCGACTGTACTTCTGGAAGAACTCTGGTCAGTAGTAAATAAACTCTTGTATGTTATGATATGGTAGGTAAATAGGCATTCAAAATAAAAATAAGCAAACAGAGGAGGCTCTGATGTTTTGGATGCCATCACACTGCCGTAGCTTTTAGCAGATGAGAAATCCTTTTGCTTTCAGATGCTTAAGTTGAAGTTGATAAGTCTTTGAAGAAGTAGGACCTTCAACTTTAAGCAGATAATTTACACCAAGAGGTGATAAGCAATAGTCCTGATCCTGGGGGGGCGTTGAGCTCTGGTCCCGTCACGAAACATCATTTCCAAGTAATTCTAGGGCAAAATGCCACTTACCATCTTTAAAGTCTTTTCAACTTTGTCCACATTGAAGTAGCCTGTGTGGTTACCCTCACGGTTGAATTTCTCCAGGGCCTTTGCAGCAATATCTTTATGTTGCTCGGTGACTTCTAAGACTTCGATTTTCACAGGACAATCTTTGCACTCTAATAAATCAGGAGGAACTGTGGAAACAAAGAATTTACTAATATTGCAATAGATGTTAATACTCTTGGGAATGTCCATGTGCCTTTAATATGAACTCATAAGGAGAAACTGAAATGCAAGCGTTTTCTTGGAAGTAAAATACCTATCCCTCAATCCACAGATATGGTTTTGTCATGGAAAAACCCCAAACCTGTGAAAAGCAACATTTTTATAAATCTCCTCCTTAGAATGTTCCCCCCTAAATGGGCATTCTTCTAAGTTTACTCTTTTTTTGCTATTCATTATCATGTTTTGGTGCACTGGAATGGTGATATCATCTGACATTAATAAAGTCTGGTTTAGGAGACTAGGATAACCTTAATTCTATTACTCATTCTTAACATTCCATTTGAATTATCTCAAATATGAATTGCAAGCAGATGAGTGAGTCGGTTACAGTTACCATACACTAGTACTGCACAACTTGTAATTTGCTGCGAGGTCTGGTTTGAGGTATGCACTGGCTTACAATAGTGGTTATTTTACCTGGGCTTAATGTGCAATTAAATCCATATAGATGAGGTTTCTTCAGCAGCTGGGTTGTATATGTGATTATCTTACATTGCCCAAAGTCCTGAGAGGAAGAAAGAATGCACGATTATGATGTTATTTTCACTAAATTTAATTGGATGTAGGTGATCATAGAAATTATGCCCCCTCTTTACATACAGTACTTCTAAGAATAACAGATGTGGCCATTAATGGAATGTTTGATCCGGTACCACTTGAAATTTGTGTTCAGAATAAAATGGGATCTCCCTCTGCAGGAGCCTTTATTTGAATTCTGAGTTTCCATGACTGAGTAGACAATGGAAAACTAAACCTGCTGCCTTAGTCATTCTGCTCCTTGTTTGCAGTAAGACAATGCTAGCTAGCAGGGGAAGTGGGAACGCCAGTGATACTCAAGGTTAGGTAAATCTTAATGGAAAAGTGGGTGGATCTATTCTTCCATTCCTTTTCCTCACATTAATAAAAAGAGTAACTGCCTGCACTTGTCATGGCCTTCCTGCTTTGTTCTGTGTGGCAGCGGTGTCACCACTCTCCTATTTGCGTAAAGTCTCGCACTTGTAGTTCCCTTCCCAGGCGGCATTGCGGGCCTGCAGCAATGAAGGACAAGTGTTGCTGCATGTTGTACCTGTACTGACACTGCCAGTATTTCACACTGTCGTACCACAAATGCTGTGACAGAAAACCGACAAAATATAACACTGATATTTCTGGCTTATATACTAGGAACATGCTTTAAAAAAATAAATTCTTGTGCCCTTTAGTTGTCAGCAAATTATTCTTAAAACATCGGTACGGCTGCCAGCAGTGGAATGCAGCGTATAGCTCCTTTGAGACGAGTTAAATAAAGCTGCACTAGCTTAAGGAGTCAAGCCTCTTCCAAACCTTTAGCTTACTTTTAACATCTTTAGAATTCAATAGATTTTATTTTATAGTGAGCCCTGTGAAAGCATAGTCTTCACTTAGAGATTTTGTGACACAGAACTTTCTGAGCAGTTCAGGTGAAGATCAAGTTACTACATTATTGACACGTGAGCCTGCCGGGGTGCCGTTACTTGCCATGAGAGCGATGTCGCTGTATTCACAGGACTCCCAATGTCTCCTGGATAGTACAGGGCATTCAGTTTCCAGCACATCCAAAGTTAAGTAGAGGATTGATGTATTTCCCTGGAAAAGAAGTGTAGGTACAAAGGAGTCTGTATATTCAAAGTTCGATCTGACAGAAACTTTTCTGAAGTAGACATGTTTAATCTTTACTGTAGCTTCCCCAGTTCCCTATAAAGGTTTTTCTGAGCTGACTGGTGGCATAGGAAGGATTTAAGCTGGAAGGGACCTTTGGAGATCACCTTGTCCAGCCACTTGCTCAAGGCAGAGCTAACAGATTCGGCAGAGTTCACCAAGACAGATGTTGCACAACCTCTCTGGGCCATTCCACTACTTAAACATTTTCTCCATGAGGTTTTTTTTGGCCTCACATCTAGTCAGAATTTTTCTTTGTGCAACTTACAACTATTGCATCTTATCCTTTTGTTGAGAACCCATGTTAAACTTGCATCCATCAAGCAGGGAAAATGCCAATGTTAAAAAAGTTGCCATTCCCTCTTTCTGATTTTCCTGGAGAACATACTGATCTATCAGGAAATCAGTTGTCCGAGCAGCCAATTATATAGCTACATACATTTCAAAAGACCTTATAGACGAGATACACTTTCAGAACTTTTCTTCCCACTCAGCGTATTCAGGAAGTGATGGAACAAAGCTGGAATAATCTCTACGAAGCCTTGGCTTTGAAGTTCTGAAAGTATATTCCATCTCCTGAGCAAATGGAATGGAGAATCAAAATTTTAATTTTGCTGCCAGTGCAATGCAGTGTCGTATTAAGAATTTTCTGTGGGCCACAGGAACAGTTTTGTGTTTTTCTGTAGGAAAATGAGTCTCAATTCACATTTGGAATGGATTATTTAAACTTCATGCAACCCGTGGCTGGGCATTCAGAATGAACACAGACATATTTTATTTTGTTACTTAGATAAAATGATGTAAAGCCCTTCATTTTGAATAAGTGTCCTCAGGTTTTATAAAATTTCATCCATACAGATTTCTTTTTCATAGTGTTTCTTTATAGACGAGACCTTGAGAAAGAATTACTGCAGTCTAGTGTAATGTTTTTATTAGTGAGAGTCCACCAGTTTGGCAGTGGGTGTATGTTTCAGCATTGTCTCTATTTTTAAAATAGGGGCTGAGTGATTTGCACAAAGACACAATAGCAGAAGCAGTGAAAGAATATAGTTGTCCTGAACAATTGTCCTGCACATTGGCCACATGATTATTCTGTGCTTAGGGGTAGTTAGTATTTCTATTTTATTTCATAAATGCCAATAATTTCAAGCTGCTAGTCAATATATTAGTAAAATACAAACAGAGGAAAGAACAGAGACAGGGAGAAAGACTATTTTTTTCTGATTTGTATTTATGGAATTTTACTGAATAGAAAAGTAAGATGGTCTTTTGTAAAATGTGCTATTCACTAGGAGCCCTCTAAAATGGAAATGACTAAATGTATTCACCTTGTCATACAAACTTGTGAAATGTTAAAGAAGCTAGTTCATCCCTGGAAAATATGTATTTTCTTCAGCAGGATGCAGAAGAAAAAGCAGAGCTTGGATGAAATTAAGTGTCTACATCCAAATATGCGGTAGAGAATTTCTGTTTGTCACTGGATAGCTCTTGGGAAAAAAATAATTATCTTATGTTTTGCCTTCTTGATTGTTTTAAAAACACCTTGGGCACCAGAGTTCTGTACTGCACGAGCCCACAGCTATTCTAGTGTGAATACCTGAGCATCTTTTATTTCTGGAAATCCCACCTAAACCTGGTGGAGACCTGTCTGCTAGGTGTTGCGCTGCTCAGATTTCTCAGAGGCATGATGCAGTAGACTTGACGCACTATAGCAGGAACACAATAAAAATAATGTTTTGACCTTTTTTTTAATGAATTATTCTTTTAATGCCATCTTGGCAGTGGAGCCGACATAACTTCTGACAGGATCAGTGTGCAGTCAACCATGCCTGGTGGCCTTGGGGGTAAAAGGTACAGAGAGAGGCCTTACAGGGAGAATTCTTTAGCAGTAAGATAGATAGAAGAGTCTTGTCTGTTCTTGTGACTCTGGGTGACAACTGAGGCTGTGGCCCTGGACTGCAAAGACAGCGAAATTCCCTCAGGGTACAAAGAAAGGTACGTAAGCATGGTGGTTTGGTGGTTTCAGCATTCAGCTGGAAGTGTGAATCCTCAGCTCTGATCCCTGTTCCAAGTTACAGTTCTATAGTTTTTACGGTCAATAATCAGTCAAAATGTAGAAACACTGAGATTTTTCTTTTTAGAAACTACTATTGTTTTTCTTACTAATCCACTGAATTTTGCATGTCTTACTGCCCAGTGGCTTCCCTCCACATGGGGGGCACACACAGAGCTGCTTGGCAGCAGCAGTCTTCAAGAGTAGGAGACTTGAGGGTTTAAATCTTACATCCTTGTCTTTGAAAAGCAAAAAAATCCATCATATTTTTTGAAAGTACACCTGAAGACCTGTAGGAATCTTGGCTTTGTGTCACTTTCTGAGCTTTTTTTTTATCCTAACAGGCAGTCTTAAGCAGCTTCATCAAAACCTGGCCTGTTTTTTCAGTTGCCATACTGACATGTGTAGCACACTTCTTAAACAGTGATGTGTGCTTGAATTCTAGTTTCATAGCCAAGCAGTGAAGTAGCCAGGTGCCTTAGTAAATCTACATGTCCTTGGTCTCTTTTCTCTACTAGTTAAAGAAATTTTGTGTGCTATTGCTTTTCCTGCTATTGATTTGCTTTGGCATCTAGGCAATCACTGAGAAAGACTTAGGTATCCTCTGAGGAAACAGAAAGAATTAAGAAGGAAACAGGAAATGACTGAGATGGATTCTCTATCCAGCCCTTCCCCTGATTTGCAGAGTGGCATTTTTGTCTCCTTTGGCTTCCTCTGCCTGTTCCCCTTTCCTCCAGTTGTCCAGCTATCTCCGAAATTTAGATAACAACACAGTTAGACTTTATGATCATAAAGGTCTTCCCCAGCCTAAACAGTTGATAAACAATGATTCTGCGATAACAAAATACCGATCTTGGGGGATACATTGATCTAATCTATGTCAGATGTTCAGATTAAAGAAACCCTCCAGATATAAACTTTGAACATAACATCTGAGACCTGACAACAGACAGGACAGCTTAATTTCCGGTGCCATATAAAGCTGCTGAGAGCATCTCTTACGCCACCTCCCTGTTGGCCAGGAGGATAGAGGGCATTCAGCGTGGTTCGAAATCAAGCTAATGTACAATAAATCATGAACAAATGAATACTGAGTTAGCACAAAAATTAGAGCTGATTCAATGAATTACATCCACATTGCTCTGTTCAAAGCAATAAACATAAGCTTTTAATGATCTGGCTCATTATTTTAAAATGACAGTCTTATGTAAATCAGCCTTTGAGTCGATACTTACTATACGTTGCTCGTGTGCATCGGCAACACGGAATAAACCAAAGACGTAGCCATCTCTGCGATGTTTGTTGACCAAATCCAGGGCCACTCCTGCATCTTGTTCAGCGGTATTACAGTCTGCAGGTGTAATGCTTGTTTTGGTTTGGGCGTTAGAGCACTGCAGGAGTGTTAGAAAAAAAGCTGAAGCTAGAAGCAGCATTTTGTTTGCAGCATTAGGTCACTTCTGCCCATGCTCTGATAAAGCCAGTAGTCTGCTTTTAAATCAGTGTAGCCCACTGAAGATATCAATGAATGCTAAAAGGGCATGGTTTTATATAAATTTAAGTGTTGTGTCAGAGGGCCATTACCTTGACCTTGGGTTAACATTTGCAAACAGCAAGTAAATGATTATATAATGATTGAGCAGATTTTGAGGAATGTGGGTCTTATAATACTTTCTGGACTACCCATCAAAGGGACGGTGTTTGTGATTCTTTAAGCAGGCATTGTGCAATTCTGTTCTACAGTGAAAAATCCTTAGCCTCTAACAGTGTGCTGCTGAGCCTGGTGTTAAGAGGGTCCAGTTTATGTATGCAGGTGTTACGCAATCTTGGTTTTCTGTTTGCTGTAAAAACAACTGAACTGAAAATATGCTGAAATATTTGTGGTCTGTATCCATGTCCCTGTTTTTACAGATCCTTATCTAGTGGAGAACTAGTGAAAGAGAAACAAGGAGGTCACTCAGATTTCAAAAAGGGATGTAGTCAGGGTGCACTTGCAAGCTGGTGGTCCATAGCTTCTATGTGAGTACCTGCTACTCTTCCAGCTTGAGAAAATTTAGAGCAGATTTCTGTCAGCTTTACGTCGTTTCAGACTCTTACCCAGAATGGGACTGACTGGCTTAATACTGATGGAATCTAGGCATGGCATGAAGTGACATAAAGCTGCCTTTGTATTCTTGATCTGAGCAATTTTGTGGGCTCTTTGGCTCTAGTAGCCTTCATAGACTTCTTTAGATAGTTGTTGGTAATTTTTCTGTATTTGGTAAAATAATGCAATACATAATAAGATTCATACCCTTCACAGGATATGCCAAGATCCTCTGCTAAGCAGAAAGGAGAAGGTGTTGTCTCATTGTATTAAAAATCTTTTATTCAGGGTAGTTTAAGACATTCTTAAAAGGTAGTAATTGCTTTTTAGGGAGTGGCTGAAGTTTGAATACAGAAGTCAAACTCTGAGTAAGAAAATTAAAGAATTCAATGTGAGTCCAAGCTTACAAGGTCAGATTCAGATGAGAAATTTTGCAAATTCTGGTTTGTGTGAAGAGTTGCATGAGCTTCTCATAGAAAACGGTTCTAGCTATGTAATTGACTTCTGTTTACATGTTTGACTTTTTAGTTTTTGACTTATTTTTATGAGAAACACTGGGAAATATAATGGATAATCATCCTTAAACCTTACCTCATTGCATTAATCCTTATTTTAAAAAATCCAATTTCTAGCATGTCTGGTGTCTAAGAAATCATATTTTTAAATGCATAGAGCTGACGCAGTGGCTTTCTTTATTATAATTAGTTCAGAACACATTTAACCGTTCTCTGGTAGCAGATAAGCTAAATGGAGAATCTTACAGCATTAGAACTGAGGGCACTCAGAGCTCATGTGAAACAGTTTAAGATAAATAAAATAATCCTCATGCAATGGGTAGTGAACTTGCTGCAGAAAGATACGGAGGCAGACAGTATCAGCAGGATCGGAACTGGCTTAGAAAAGTTCATGGACAGCAGGTCCTTGAGTGGATCCTGGAAGGATTAAGGAGATAAGTGCTCCTTAAAATCCCAAGTACAATGATTTTGAGTCCTGGAAGAGTTCAAGGGAATGGTTTGCAGAAAGAGGGCATGTGTCTATGTTTCTCCTAACCACAATTGTCTTTTACCACTGTGAGACATGAACACTGGGCTGGATGAACCACTGTTCTGATGCAGCAGGACATTTCTTTTGTTTATGTTTTTATAATGTTTCATTATATTAATTCAGAATTTCTTCTAGAAGATCTGGGGGAAAAAAGCAGTGAAATAAATGTTGTGTAAATAATCAAAGACATGAAATACACCTCATCAGTTAAAAATACCATTCACATCATTGCTGTGTTGAAAAACCCCCCCTCATTCATTACTTACAATGCCATTTAATTTTTCAAATGGGCAATGATATTAAAGAAAGGCGTCAGATTAGGTAATTTATAATGTAATTCCCTTAGTTGCCTATTGTTTGCAGATTGTTTGCTCTTTTTTTCTTCTTCTGTTCTGTGCTGCTGTTCATTGTGACACCGATCATTTTCTTGACAGCGGCTTATGTATTTTTTATGTATGAAATAGAAACACTATGAATAAACAGTAGAAAATGTACATTTCCTGCAAAATTGACAGCAGAAGTAAAAGTAAGATTCTATTCCCACTGTAGAGAGTATTGTCCTTGATTTCTTCGGAAAAGAAAGCTTGGGCCTTATTATTAAAATTCAGTATGAACAAGTACTCCAGGCACACTCAGAGCAGCTAATTAAATATTGGTTGTACTTGAGTCAATATAATGTATTTTTATAATTTCTCAACCAGTTTGATATATTTTTTAATGCTTATTTTGTTTTTATATTTATTGCTTGTAAGTTTTATGTGTTTTTTTAATGAAGCTACTTCTATAAACAGATTGCTAGCAGGAATAGGAATATGTATCCAAACATGGCATTTCTCTTGACTAGCTTATCAAAAGTTTAGCTCTATCTTGATCCAAATTCAAACTTTAAGGAGTTGGTTATAAGTATCTATCCTAAACCTCTCTCCAGAAATCTGGGAGAACACACCAAAAAGAAGCTTATCTTCCCCTCTTGAAAAACAGGTTGCTTAATAAATAGAATTTTATTTATGGGAGAAAACGAGAAGAAACCTGGCAAATAAAGGAGATAATATACAATAACCAATTACTTCTTTCTCAAAGCATAGCCATAACTACTTACAGATATCTCTGATTTCTTGGGAGGGCTACACTGCTGACTGGCTGACTGTTCCTCGCCTCCTGCAGCAGCGCTTCCCTCACAGGCTGGAATTAGTCAGTTCTGCAGGCAGCAAAGCCGTATCCGTCCTGTAGCCTGTGCTGCCCTGCAGCTGCTGCTCTTCTAGCTCTTAAGCAAGAGTACAGCTAACAAAGACATGCGGCTCCAGCTGCTTAGAGGTGAATTCTTGGCTAGCTTATCTTTACTTTTTTCAGTGTGTGATGCCTCTTAGCTTCATACCAGGGTGGCCTGTTTTTACCACTTGATGCAAAAAAACAGAAAAAAAGAAGTTTTACAGTTTTTGAGGTAGCTCCACATTTCACAGAAATGCCCCCAAGTAGGATGGAAAAATCTGTAAATGCATCACGTCTTCATTAATGTCTCATTTTTATCTGCTGGGTGTAAATATAGTGTCCCCTGATGCAAATGAAATGTTATATGAATTTGCTTCGGTTATGGTCTTCAAAGCAGCAGCTGCAGCTATAGCTTCCCCTCCCTGCCTGCAGCTTATTTTTCTTTACCAGTCACCAGTTTTTTATCAAACTTTAGAAGCTTCATCACCTTGTCTATCAATTTTCGTTCAAACAGACCTTAAGTTCAAAACCTATTTGGAGGAGCTCATTGCCAAGTGAGCAAGCTGATAACAGAAGTCTCGCTGCTTAGGAGACCTCAAGAACTAATAGAGGGACTAAAAAGGGTGTCAGTATTCCTTGTCTTGTCCTCAGTGTCTGGCTGCAAATTGCTTTCTAGAAAAAACATCCTGAACTGCTGTTGATGACCTTAACGATATGTGGCAAGGCTGACCTGTTTGCTGCGGGGCTTGGGAGGCTGGCAAAAAAGGTGGGGTTAAGAATTTCTTGTCGAGAACGGGATCAGAGGAAGTTCCAAGGGATTTGACTCTTTCAGGGCTTGTGCAATTGTACTGTTCTTGAAATTTAAGCTTTAACTGGTGCTTGTAAGTTAGAGCAGGTTAACGTAAGGGAAATGTTGGCAATTGTTGTGATTGTTTAGTATTCATTATTATGTCTAGTAGAAGGTCTTTAAAATCTACCTTTGAAATTGAAATCAAAATAATATGTGTATATCCTGAATACAGCTGCTTAGCATGTATAACCTCAGAGATGCAGAGGAAAATGTTTAACCATCAAGTATGTACAATGGGCAGGTTCTGAAGTCAGACAAATAGAATTTATAATCAACTTAGTTTATAAAATCCTTGATTTTTTAAATCCATCTTGAGAACTCTGATATCTGTGCCTTGCTTTTTGAAATCTTTTTGATTGGCTGAGGATGAGTATAGGAGAAGGGTAGCTGAAAAATCTAAACAAATACATAGCCAATGCATACATAAATAAGCCAGCGTATCTTATCCTGTACCTCTTGTATGTTACTGCCCTTTTTTTTGCGTTCATGGTGCCTCACCTATATTCGGAGGTAAAGGCTTGATAATATCTGGAGTGACCTGGAGGTCAGTGCCCGCTGGTTATCTGTGCCCGAATAGAAAACATCATCCATGTGAAACTGGAACGTTCGCTCAGATAAACATCAGACCACATTTTAGCTGGACATTGCCCAGATGGCAAGTTAATAATGGACGATATAATATCATATGTTCAGTAAGTGTTGAAAAACTGTGAAGTGAAATTGGAAAGTGAATTGAGAATTGTGTGCCAAAATCTACCCACTTCTCACCTCCAGTGACTGGATGGAGGCTTCTGTCTTACTGGCCTGTCCTCTTCTGGACAGGGAGAAGCAGCACTGGACAGTTCGCAGTCCTGTGAGGAGAGGAGAGCACCTGGGCTGTGACTGAAGGCACACAGGGGGTGTTTCTGCCAGCTCTTTTCTCAGTTTGCCTAGAAGGTGAGAGACTAGGCCAGAAGATGAAGAGGTTTGGCACTATCTGGGCATGTTTTTTTAGAGGGTTTGCTATAGTTCTGCTGCTCATGCTGTCACACAGAGTAAATCTGTGGAGACCAGATGCATGGCATCCTGTGCCCCTTATCTGTCCACGTGGGCCTGTTGGAGGGAGAAAGCTGCAGTGCTGACCTGCTCGCAGACTGGCATAAAACTGAGTCAGCAGCAGGACTTGAAGCAGTGATGGCTAAATGTTATCAGCTCTTACTCCTGTCAGTGCCATCTGGGAATATCCAGGTCCGTCCTGAGGACAGGAA